ATTTTTATTTATTCAATTGTTCTATTTTTACTTGTATTTTATTTCACTATTATTTCATTTCAGGTTTATTTTGGTTAATATAATTGTTATTTTCAGCTATTCATTTTCAATTCTTCTTTTTTAGTTGTTTCAGGGATTTCAAATCATTTTATATAGTAGACAATGGAAGTCCGAACTATTGAAATTCATCATGAAACATTGTCAATCACCTTCAAATTAATCATTACTATTCTCATACCGTCGCAGTTACATCGGGTGTTCCACAAGGTTAACATTTGGGACCACTGTTGTTAAACCTTTTTATCAATGATATAATCAGCTGTTTCCATGAAAGCAAAGCTTTGCTATTTGCCGACGATTTAAAATGTTTTAAAATAATTCAAAGTGAAGCTGATACATTGTGTCTACAAAACAATATAGATTGACAATCCAACTGGTGTTCGCAAAATGGTATGTGTTTGAATGCATCCAAATGCCAAATTCTTCGCTTTCATCGAATACATCACCTAATCACTTTCGAATATAGTACAAATAATCAGACCATACATTCTGCTATTGAAACCAAAGATCTGGGTGTAATCCTAGACTCCACACTTGGCTATAAATCACACATTTCCGCTGTAATTCAAAAATCTATGGAATGTGTGAATTCAATTTTCAATACAGCTTTAGTTTATTCATTTTCAAATAATTGTTGGCACAAACCGTGAGCGCTTTGTGCCATATTTTTTGTATATCAGGCGCCCGTCGATTTTTTCACAATAATAGTGGTATTTTTCGTTCGTTATTGTTTCAAGCTTATTTAAAAAAAAATATTTTTAACTTTTTAGTTCGATGTTCACCAGTTACTTTGTTTTTCTATATCTGAACAGTTTCTGAAGGCTCTATATACTCGTATAATACTACTACAACAATACGTTATTATAGATTTTTATTAGTTATCGAGCTATTACATCACACACCATAAACAGTTCAGTAAATCTTTATACTAGATAAATATTGTGAAATGCTTTGAAATATCAAGCACAATTTCCTAATTTTTTTTCTTTTTAGACAGTATTGCTCTGAAAATTACCAGGCAACTTTCATCTCCAAAATATTTGAAAAGTGACAATGTGATGTCAAAAGTACAAGTCAATGTCAAGATAAAAACATATTGATTCAACAAAAACCTAGTGTTTCAATATAGTACAGAGAAAACAACTTTTGTCTGATTTCTACTAAGTTTTTCATTTGTTACAACTGGTTTCAGTTTACGACAAATTTACTATTATCCTATTTTCAATATGAATTGCTACAAACAATCGAACAGCCTAGTATTTTAACTGAACTTTCAACTAGTTTTGAAAGTCTAATCTTGGTGCTTCCTGGTGCATAGTAGTGGAGAGATAATTACTTTAATTCCAAAGTTGTATCGCTTTCTACTTACTTGTCTGCCTCAAATATGCTATTGAATTACTATCCACAGGAAAAAATCCAACGGTAGCTCCATATTCAGGACACATATTGGCAATAGTTGCCCTGTCAGCAATTGACAAAGCTGTTACACCAGGTCCATAAAATTCAACGAATTTTCCTACTACACCCAACTGACGCAGATTCTGTGAAGAAAATTATCGTTTCTCACAATTTGGTCATGCAAATGGTCAATATTATATAAGCAGGCAAATTATCACCTACACATTGTCTAAAGAAATGAATTTTAAATGTTCAAGCCAGTCTCGAATATACCTACACAGTATTATATATTATTTATTATTATTATGGTTACTCATGGGAACACACATGAATGAAACAAACAGAAATAACAAAACAACAAACGGCGCATTTGCGGCGCCGCGAAGGAGAAAGAGAGCGAAGGAGGTAGCCGATGTCCGTGGTACCGTCAAATCCTTCGATACTACAGCACTGAACGCGATGGATGCGAATCTCATCCTAAGAGCGGTTGAAGGTCCCTGGCAACTTTGGCGGATCACGTGGTAAGAGAGCCTACTGGTTGTATTATTCTACTGTGGCATAACGCTGAACCAGTGGGGAGAGAATCGCACAGTCGCTTGCGCAGAAACAACCTATATAAGTGTGAAAAATATGTAAATGATGAAATATTTTACCTTCGTGATTGTAAGTACCAAGTCCGTAGATGTAACATATTCGTTCATCTTTCCATATAATCTATAACCTACAACTTGGGGCAATAACATGCTGATAGATTGTCCTAACATCACTGCCTCTGATTCAATTCCCCCAACACCCCAACCCAAAATTCCCAATCCATTTATCATGGTGGTGTGTGAATCAGTGCCGACCTACAAAGTATGTATTGAGATTAGAAATATGTCAAGATTCAGAAAGAAGTGCTTAGCGGTACTTACTACAGTGTCGGGATACAATATCGATGTATCTTTATCCGTGAAAACAACCCTTGCAAGGTATTCCAAATTGACTTGATGAATGATTCCACTTCCTGGTGGTATAATCAACATGTTGTCAAAAGCCTTTGCTCCCCACTTAAACAAAAAAACATTCATACTGAGAAACTGCAAAAAATCTATTTCTCTTGAGTTTATAATCAACTGTGCCACTTCAGTTTAAAGGATTTTACTTTTAAGAATAGTCTATGCCAGGGGTCTCCAAACTACGGCCCGCGGGCCAAATCCGGCCCGCCAGTGAAACATTTTCCGCACAAGGACTGTTGATGAATGATACAATGTAAGACTAATGGTTTTGAACCACCATCATTTTTTACAGCCTTCGACACAAGTGCAACCACTCCTTTATTTTTACCATACATATTTTTGCCTCCATCAGTTGTTATAGATTTCAATGGCATTCAACTCCCTTAAAAATATCTGCCCCAGTTGTCGTGCCGTGAATACTATCAATATCAAGAAGTTCTTCATACACTTCATAGCTTTTATCTGCTCCGCGAATAAAAATCAACACCTGAGCAGTATCTGACACATCCGTTGACTCATCCAATGCTAGAGAAAACCACTCATGATGTCCATTTTTGTCAGACAGTTGAGATGATATATTCTGCGATGTTTTGCACCCTCCGAGCCACGGTGTTTGCTGACAAACTGACACTTTTAAATAAATTTACCTTTTCAGGGCATATTTCTTCGGCTACTGCAATCAAGCATTCTTTTATCATTTCTTCATTGGTGAATGGTTTGCCACGTTTTCCGATTTCACGAGCCACACGAAAGAAAGCTGGCGCGAGTTGCAGACTCTTGTTCAGTATTCGCTTTGGTAAACAAAGATTGTTGCGATTTGAGTCCGCGTTTCAAAGCTTCAAATTTTTCCTTCCGCAAACTTCCTGTATACTTGGAGTAACTTTGAAGATGTTTCAATTCATAGTGTCGTTATATGTTAGTCTTTTAGAACAGCTATGGTTCCATTACAAATTAAACATAGAGTCTTATTACTGGACACAAAAAATACTGAAAGTTCCATTTTTCTTGGAACGTTCTGCATTCACTGTCGATTTTTCACTTCTTTTTCATACTAACAAATCACACATAAAAACAATAAGTCAAATCAAAATACTTTTATTGACGGGTGTTACTTTATTTCACAATAGACAGTTTCGCTTCCTTCGCCTTTCCTACGCAGACTAACTCGCAGTTGCGCCGCTAACCTTTTTATATGCAATTATTACTGCCATCTCGGTGATCGGAATACACTAGCTAGAACCAGAACTTTCTCGAACCAACGCGGTAATTCCAAATAAAATTACGCCTAATGCCACCTAGCGTACATAGTGGTACATAGTACCACTACTCGCCACTAGATGTCGTTAAGTGTCACAATACACAATAATAATTGAAATGCAAAAAAGCGTAAGATTGCTTAGGCCACGCACTTTGCGACTATCCTAGTCTAGAAATATAGTTAAGGGCAGACATTGGCCCTTGGAACAAATTGAAAAAATCACTATGGCCCAAAGGCTTCAAAGTTTTGAGACCCCTGGTCTATACACAGTAAATCCAAACAGCTAATTGAAAGAGTAATGTACATTACTCTTTACTACTAATAAAACAAATCAATGTAGGTTTATGAAAAATAAAATTAATTTCTAAACAAAGTTGTAGCAAGCCGCACACGATATAAAGAAACTGCCGACGTTCGGTAACTATTTAGTTTTTATGCCATTCGAATTGACTTCGTATATACTATAAAAGAAATATTTATATTTATGTATTAGCAAATATCTGTACCTGGAGAATCTTAGATTTGAAAAAAGCACATCCACATATTACTTTCTTACAAATATTTTAGAGGCTCAAGCCGACTTTGATAAATTTTTACCCTTTTCTGGATATCTGTGTTTGAAAAAAATCTCTAACCAGGATTTCAAATTCGAGAGGTTCTCCATTGTATTAAAACGGCACTCCTTCAATGATATTTTCATTGGTTTATATTATTTGTGGTATAGTTGTAGAGATAGTATTTTTTGAAAATAACCTTCATCATTCAGTACATCATTAATACAAAGATACTCTTGGGTATGCTTTTCGGGGCAAACTGAAGTTGTTGTGAAGAAATTCCTAGAGCGTTCCACTTCAAACTAACTGTTTATACACACTCTTGTAACTATCCACAATTTGATTTCAATGTATGAGCCACAGACATACAGCTGTTTCAGCCTATTGGACATCGTCAGTGCCGAGCAGGTGGTCTTTGATTGAAGACGAATTTGGGACAACCAGAACGAGCATTTCTCCAAATCAATGCGGAAACGCATAAGTGGATTCACACCCAAGTTTCTGAGAAATGAAACTCAATGCCACCATCTGATGTTCTATTTATATTTTAAACATTTGACGTCAAGTTTTCACCACAGACTGGTTATCTATTTTATCATCTTAAAAGCCAAACTATATTCTGTAAGAAACGAAAAGCAGTTGTTGTGTATGGATGGAAGATCAAACTGATCTTCCTCTTGAAGATGATCACTTCGTGATCGAAACACGTGTAGAGGTGTTAAAATATCGGTTAGTGTTGGGATGAAATTCCAGTAATATTCATTACTACACCAAAGGCTTCAAACAGTGCATCACCAGTGGCGAGTATAAGTGAACTTATTGCAATATGTGAAGAAATCAAGCCAATACGGCCGCATTTGGCTAAGCTCGCAAATCCATTATCGGCATGACCAAAATTAATGAATTGAAGTTTGAATTGCTGCCTCAAGCCCCCTTGGATTATTTTCTGTTCTCAAACTTGAAAAAAATGGCTCTGGTCAAAGATTTTCCAACTATGAAGAAGTGATGTCGGTATTTAATGGCCATTTTGAGAAACAAGACAGTTCTCATTATAAAAACGGTGTAAAACGAACGAACGAAAAGTGTATAGAGCTGCAAGGAGATGTTGAAAAATAAGGACATTTTTTCCAAATATTTTGTGTTTTATTTGTTTTTTTTTGTTTTCAAAGCTATCTTGATTCAAAGAATGCATTGAAATAAGAACTAATATTTGAAAAAGCTAAAATCTGAAGAACTCTAATAAGTTTAGGTATAGGGAACCCCAAAATGTAATGAAAGATAGTTGAATTTTTTATTGTTCAGACCAAAAAATACGAGGTGTTCATTTGAAATAATAAAGTAATCTCTGTCCGAAGTTATAAAGAAATGTCAATGATTTTTAAACATTCTCTATAATATTGAGAACCGGGTTTTATCTAAATCAATAGCCCAAAACCTCTTTTATGCTTGGTCAGAATTAGAAGGGATGACTTCTATACATTTCGATGTTATTTAGTTTCCAATTGTACCTAGCATTTTCTTCAAAAAATCAATAACTCGAGAACGGTTATAGTTAGGTACATAGTACCTTATACGGAATTATATTATTTTTTTTCGACCTATTTTTTTTTTATATACTTTATTGTCTGAAGAAAAAATTCTTATTGACAAAGCCTTGTGCGAAATATAAATAACATATACATGAAATCACAAAAGAAAATCACTAAAAGTAGGTTATAACATGAACTGAAAAGAGACATGTAAATAATAACAAACGTTCAGGATATAAGAACATGGTCAACAAAATGTAAATAAATCAATTTAAACTAAATTGAATGAAATGAAATCAATAAAATACCGTAGATATTACAGTTAGTCTTCTCAATTAAAATTATCATCATAGAATTCTGCTAAGCTATAATAAGGTCTCCCAGAGAGCAAGTCTTTCAACTCTTTCTTAAGAGCTCTAAGGTCATTTATGGTTCTTATAGCTTGAGGAAGGTGATTGAACATTTTAAGACCATTGTAAATAATGGAATCTTTAACTAGCGACGAAGAAGGCAGCGGTAATTTAAAGCTGAATCTTTGCCTGGTTTGATACATTGGCGCGTCCAAGTTGTTAAACAATACCCTATTTTTGAAGACAAGGCAGATTGTCTCGTATATAAATAGGGAGACCACAGTTAGGATTTTGTTAGAGGCAAAAAGAGGTCGACAAGAGTCCCTAGGCTTGGCTTTGCATATGCATCGTATTGCACGTTTTTGTATTAGTAATACTGATTGAAGGCATGTGGTAGAACACACACCCCAAAAGCAAATACCATAACGGAGGTGTGGTTCAAAAAGGGAATGATAAACCATTCTAGCTTCTGCAGATCCGAGCTCAAATGCAGTTACTCGTATGGCATAACATCCAGAGGAGAGCTTCGATTTCAAAGTATCTACATGATTGTTGAATTTTAAACTATTGTCAATGAACAAGCCAAGGAATTTAGAAGCTGGTACGTTATCTATTTGAATATTATTTAGATGTACGGCTGGAATCTGGCAACGATAGGACACTACTTTTGTTTTTGATAAATTCAAGCTCAAGAGATTTGAGTCAAACCAGTCCTTCAAACATATAACGAAAAACAGGGTGTTTCATTTAAAAAAAAAAAAAACTTAAAAAAAAATACTTCTGCAGCCTCAATATAAAAAAAATATAGAAATTCCTGAAAAATTATTGGTTTGGTTTACAGGGACCTTGTCGTATGCGATGCCCCACCCTGTATATAATATAACACTATGTTGTTCAAGCAGTATTTCATTTTTAACATTAGAACGTATTATATTCTGAATTTATTTCTCGAGAGCTTTTACAAAATTAGACAATAACAACTAATAATTCGGTTATGAGAAAATCTCACAATAGTGAATTCCCACTTTCCTTAAAATTTATAAGTTGACATTTACATTAGGCATGGCTCGTTTTTCAAACCAATTTTTTGGTAATAGAGAAATAACAAAATACCTTCAAAAAAGTGAATCTCTCCCTGTTCCTTTCAAACTCCATATCTTCGTTTTTTCGCAGTGCATCGGGTCTGAAAATTGCAAAAAATTGGGTTTAATTCATCAAGAATAGAGTAATCTGAGTAAATATGTAAATACTATGCCCAAAGAAAATAACTTCCGTGGCAACGTTAGTTTAAAACGCCTCTTCAACTTGTTTTGTATGTTACAACATTAGTTGGCAGTATTTTAATTTAAGTTTAAAGTTGGTTAACTTCAAGTCTGACAAATGGTTAGATTAACGGAAATGCATACAATAACAGTTTTATAAATTATTGGTTACAGAGATAAAACCTGAACACAACAGGAAGTAGTTCACTTATTTCATGAGAAATTTCCCATTTTACCGCCCATATCTCAAAGAACAATAAGCAAAATAGAAAAGCAGTTTTGCGAGCTTGGTCATGTGGGGCAGATTAAAAAAGCAGCTGCCAATGCAATGAGTGATGAACTCAAATTAGATGTGAGTCTGGAGTTTGAGGAAAACCCACAGGCACCCACTACATTCAATGTTAGCCATACATCGATAGTAAACATATTAAAAGAAAATAAAATGCATCTCGATAAAATGATACCTACTCAGGAGCTCATGGACGATTTTGATAGAATAACTTATTTCTGAGAGCAAATGATGGACATGGACATGTTGGATAACAATATTATTCAATTAGAAAATGTTATGTTTGTGATGAGAGCACGGAGAAATTTCATCATCTTCAATTTGCAAGTTGAATCTGGCTATTTCTTTTTGTCTAGCATGAAATCTTATCAAACGTGTTTTTTGATTATTCAAATGTAGGGAATTTTCCTTGAACCAGGCGTTTAATTTTTGCAGGATTAAGTTACCTTTGGTTTGTAGATTTTGATCTATTTTATCTGATATAACCAGTGATGTGTCATCTGCATATAGTGTAAAATGAGCATGTGGAGATGGATTCCATTATATTTACATATAATAAAAAAATATAGGGCCCAACACTGATCCCTGTGGTACACCTACATTAATATCCACATAATTGGATGTATGTAACTTTCTCACTTTATTATTATCATTGATGATACTGACATATTGCTTCCGTGTTGAGACAAACGTTTTCAGGCAATATTATGGAGTTTTATGTAAAGATTTTCGTGATCAACACAGTCGAATGCCTTACTGAGGTCACAGAAGACCCCGATGACTTTGAATTCTGAAAACCATATTGGTTTTTGGATATAATGTTATTCTCATTCAAATAAACGTTCAGTATTATTGTTACGTTACTGTTTCTCACTTCAACAGTTCCAGGCCATAGAATAAGAAAGTTCTACCAATTTGAATTGAATCATTCACAAATTGTTTCCCAATATTTTCATAACTTACGATCTTGCAAAATCAACTTGGATGGAATGATCAATGACCAAATCAACTGGACATATCGGATTGATTTTATTGGGATTACCTCCTAAAGTTTTTACTGCGTCTCTCATTGCAGCAAAATCAACAACGGCGGGAACTCCAGTAAAATCCTGAAGATAAATGAAAGAGTTGCTTGATGATTTGGATATATAGGAGTAGAAATATGTCACCTGTAAAATAACTCTGGAAGGTTTGAATGGAATTTCAATGGCACCTTCATAACTTCGATTAGCTTCCCAATTCAAAATATTTTCAACATCCTGCTCTTTTATTTGAAAGTTGTCACAGTTTCTAACTGCTGATTCCAGTAATACCCTAATTGAATATGGAAGACGATCTGAAAAAAAGAAGTTACTCCTAGATGGTTCAACTATTTCAATGCAAAATTAATTCAATTCAACACAGAAACTATCAAGATCAAGATGGAGTGGTAGAAAGCCAAAAACTTTCTTTCCCAAAAAAATTAATCACTCCTTAAAAAAAAAAACTTCTAATTAGAATTAGAAGTTATTAAAGCTTCAATTCCTTTTTGTGAACAAAGGTTGATATTAAAATACTGAAAATAAAGGAAAACTTGTTGCATCAATCAAATAAATAAACAGTTAGTNTGATTGCTTGGATTTCAATGAGAAATTTAATAAGTTTTTCATAACTTTCATTTTTTTCCAGCAAGTGGAAACATTTTATTTTATTTATTTATTTACGGACTTGCCATTAGACAATAAACACATAAATACTGTGAGTGAAAAATAAATTATTGAATAATAATATATAATACCAAAAAAGAAAAAAAAAACAAATTTCAATTAATTATTAGTGATAATAATCAGCAGTTTCTTCATAATAGGTCAATACTTCAACCAAGGATGAATCAAACAAATCAATATAGCTGCTATTCTTATTTGCTAACCTAAGCGTTCTAGTGATGGTTTCATTTAAGCCACAGCTAGTAGAATGGTAAGGAACTTTAAACAACTTCAACACTCTGGTTCTTCTTGAATTTACATTGGAAGTAAATCATTTGTGTTACAAATGGACAGTTCATATCACCATCAAATCAATTTCAGCTCGGCGGTGCTCCCAAAGTAGATAAATTCAGAAGAAGCAGAATGTCTGAGTACTCGTAGTCGGACCTTTGATATACGATCTTAAATGCACATGATCTCAGAAATTTCTTTTGTACTTTCTCAATCATAGATATTTCTGTTTGATATAGAGGACTCCATATCATGCAATTATTTTCCAAGACTGAGCGTACCAAAGAACAGTACAATATTTTAAAGGTATTTATAGAAAATTTATTTGTGGATCGTTGAAAAAATCCCAATAATTTGAGTGATTTCGATATGATGTGAGCAGAGCATCAACATAATATCAAATGGGCTCAAGCTGAAATCATCCACAAAGAGTAACACTGGTTTAAGAGGAAATTCAAAGAAGCCGCGTATATGTTGCTCAACAATGCATTTAGTGAAGCTAGCGTAGAGATACGTAACATATGGAAACCTCTAATCAAGCGGAAAACGACCACCTCCCGCCAAACGGTCACCTCCCGCTAAAACCAATGAAGCGAAGAGAGGGAAGAGGGGATAGGAGAAAGCACTCGAATGACCTATAAATAGTCAGATCTCGAAAGAATAAGTCCAGTTATCACCCGAAGACGACTGGTTTGGAATCATTTAATTTTCATTTCTCATTATTTGTTAATAATATTTTTTAATTTCCAGCTTTTATTAATATTTCAATTTTTATTTTTTTGGTTGTTGCTTGTATGTTATTTCTTTGTAATTTCAGTTTTTTATTTGATAAAATTGTTATTTTCGGTTAACCTTTTTAATTTTTTACAGGGATTTTAAATCAATTTATATTATATTAGACAATGGAAGTCCTAACTGATGAAATAAACCTGTCTATTAATTCACTTTTTTTTTCAGTTACTTTTAAATTACGGCATGCAAGCCAACATTTTAATGTTACAATATTGTTATCCTTTACAGTTGCAAATTTTAGTTTTGCTAGTTCACTCTCGCAAAGGTAATGAAAAGCATAGATATCAATATTCTGAAAAGAATATTCTCAAATCTGTCAACATATTCACTCTATTTTTGTTTAAAATCTGTTTTTCCGTTAATAAGCTGTCGCCCACATACGAACGACAACTCTCAGAAGTTGAGAAACTTGTGCGAGCCAAGGACTAACGAGGTCTTACCTTTTAACGTGTGATCCCTATGAAAATTAAATGTTTTTTTTTTCAATAATTAATATAGTCTAATAATTTTGTACTTATTCAAAAATATCACCTTACCGCTATAATATATACATCATCTAATTTCACTAGAGATTTTTTTGATTTGTTGAATATTGTATCTCCACAATGTATGGAATTATACAACTAGCAAGCAAGTTTACGATCATGAATTCTCGATTGAATCTCTTGTGTGTGATTTCGAAATTTTTGTAATAATGAAATGAAAATTTAGAATTTAATCGTAGTTATCATTTTTGTGGGTATCATAGAAAAATTTGTATGAAAATCAAATCATTGTAAAGACACTTACATAACATAACAATTTTGATGTAAAAATCACACAATTACAATTGAAATATACTAGCATAACCAACTTGAAACAAACTTTTATTTGTCATAGTAATAAGTACAAGTTTTTTTTTATTATCTCGACGTGTGTCTATGCCTGTTGCTTTGCCAATTAAGTGTTCCCACAAAAATCAAACTGAGCAAGGTTTTTCTTCGATGCTGCAGATTAGTAATACCTTCACGGATTTGTTTGAATTGCCATAGAAGGAATTCGGAGAAATTGACACCAGCTCCAGTACCATCGGCATTCTGCAGCGTCGAAAATATCAACCAAATTGTTCGCCACATTCTCTAAAGTATGTACAGTGTGGCCTCTGTTTCTATCTAAAGCTTCTTGAAATCATCTAGAGACTCTCCTCTACCACAGCTTACGCAGTACAACATCTAGCTTAGCTACGTCGGCGAGACCATTGAGGTAAAGGAGGAACTTTGATGCTTTTAAGTGAGTAAGACGTTGAACCGTCTCATGTTTGGAATAGGGTTCTTCCTCCAGAATCTGCAGTATCTTGCGCACTTTTATATTTAGTTAATAATCTAAGGCACCCAATACACTCTAAAATTTGACGGTTTCCTCTTCAACACCTGAGGAATCAAAGCACTGTTTCATTATATCAATCCAAACTTCTGGATCATAATGTATACAGAGGGGGTAATTCAAGTAGGAACTTCTCGCTAGAAAACCCATCGCTGACGAATGATTTATGTACAGACTTAATTTGTGATATATTTACATCTCACTTTTGCTACCAAATATATTTTCTAAAACTTCATTTTCACTATTTATGGTTATAACACTTTGTGAACAAATTCTTGCTCAAATCACCAATAGTATTATATACGAGATATTCTGCAATTCTGAATGTTCTGAATTTCTACCATCATGTAGTATCCTTCCAAAAAAAAATCGCAAAAAATTCAAGTCCCATAAAGTAAAAAAACCTTGTAATCTTTAAGTTACTATTTTGTGAATATTATTGCTTTGTGTTCTTTTATGACAACTGTTTTGTGAGCTGTTTACCAATTTTCTAAGATTTAAGTAAGGTTTGTCAACCAAATAATTTCAAACAAGAGACTGTGGAAGGTTATATACCCAAAAAAAGTAAGAAATATTGAGTCCCACACAGAACAAATTGTCTCAAAGGATACAATAAAAAAAATCAATTGATTGGAAGACTTATAAAGATAGTTAGATAAATTGGAATGTGTTACCAAGTAGACATTTAAATTGAAAGGGAGTGATTAATTTTTGGGGAAGAAAGAAAGAAGGAGTAGAAAGCCAAACATTTTCTTTCCCAATGATGATCTACTTTTTATTTTTATACAAGTTTCATTCGTAAAATTGTGCCTTGGACAATAAAGCATATTTCAATTGATTGATTGTTAATATTATCAAATATTGACATGAACTTACCATAATTGCAGCCCAATTGTGAAATATCATAATACTTGTACTCTTCTCCGTCTATGGTGAGACTTTTCAAAAATTTATTGAAAGGATTTTTGGCTGAAAGTTGAAACTATGAGAAGTAAATAATATATTCCTGTAAATTCTTACCTGGCATTATCTATCTAAGAGATTTGATCTTAATCTCTCCTATCCAAGTATTTCTTTTAATATTTTTGTTCACTAACTAATAAATAAAGTAATGATTTTCTACTTCATAACTTCATCTGAAAACACCGACTTTATAATTCGAATGACGGGGATAACGAGAGCGTATATAAAAACACATACGAAATAAAAAAATATTAAAAATACTGAATATTAGACGTCCAATCCTCCCAATTTTCCGACTCTGACATTTGAAATCAGGAATGTCACAACAGAACTCATGTCATGTCTCATGCGGTTACCAGTTGCCAGTTCTGTCACTCAATATTTTATTTTCGTACTGAAATTTTGAAAAATTAGTAATAAATTCAGCGATCTACTTATAAACTTTTGTATTGCGTGTATCCCATATATCAAGGTAAGATTTTCAAAAGATTGCATAGCGTCGAAATGCACTAGAAAATGGTTAGCAATAACAAAATAACCAGAAGAATTACGACAACGTAATAGATCGTGCTCAGGGTATGAGTTCTGTGGTAACAACGTAATAAAAATATAGGTAATGCATTTATTACTAACAATTACGAGTAGATAATGATATTATTTTATTTATGACGTTAAATAAAAAAAAATGAATAATATTTACGCCGAGACTACAAAAACTTTGAGTTTCAAGCAAATCTTACAGTAGGATACATGCCTTCATATATTTTAGGAGACTCCTCTGTAGAGCTTCCAGTTGATTTATATGAGCCTGATAGTAGGGACTCCACAGAACAGACGCATATTCCAGCCAAGATCGAACAAAAATGAAATAAAGTAATTTCAGTGTTGAATTTTTTTCGAAATCTTTTGTATTTCTAACTAAAAATCCATACCTGCGATAAGCACCTTTCAGAGTAGTGCCAATATGTTTATTGAAAGAGAGAGATGAATCAAAAGGACCACCTAGATCAGTGAGTGTGTCAGGACACTCCAGAACTTGATTGTTTATGACGTATTTGTGTAATGTCATATTCGTTTTCAGTGATATGGATATGTTGAGAGATAGATTATTATTCCGACACCATGTAGCAACACGATTTAAATGCAGGGTGAGACGTTCGCAATCATCAGAACATGTTATATTGTGATAAAGTTTCAAGTAATCTGCATATAAAACGAAATTGACCTCAATCTCAGTCCCGATATCATTGAACAGTAAGGGTCTTAGGTTTGACCCTTGTGGACTACCAGATGTGGCATCATATTTGACAGATTTGAGGCCATTGAGTTAGACATGCTGTCACGGTTGTAAAAAAAGATTTGAAGAGAGTAATTAAGTCTTAGGATAACCCAGAAGTTGATAGCTTGTTGAGCAGGATACTATGGTAAAGTCTGTCGAACGCTTTAGAAAAATCAGTGTAGATGACATCAGTCTGAGACTGACAATCAATACCTTACGCAATACATTGAGTAATTGTTACAAGATTCGTGATGGTTGTTGTCTTTTCATGAAACCGTGTCGATGGGGGCTAATAATGTTGCTGACGCGACAGTAGATTGTCTAGTCAAGGAACATCTCAAACAAGATTCGAAAGTGAAAACTATCGAGGAGGGATACATACGTATAAGGAAATAAAATATTTCTAAATGAATTTTGAAGTATTAATCTCTCCCAACTACTTACACAGTAGGTCTGGTGAACGTCTGTCGGAAAACAACTACTTCCCCGGCTATATACGGTGTGGTATTAACAGGGAAAGTAGTTGTTTTCCGACAGGCGTTTACCAGACCCTACTGTGTACGTAGTTGATGGGAGAGATTATTATTTCGAACTTTATTCAGGAATATTTCATTTCCTTAAACAATATTCCTATGGCTGGGATTCATTCAAATTAGCGTACATTACGTACTGTCATCGATGACATGAGTAGATGAAACTTATTCGTGACATAAAGTCGTAATTTTATGAATGAATTGAGTGCTAAATCCAGAATGTTATCCAGATTTGGTGTTGAAGATAACATAAGGCAAGTGTCTTATGCCAAAACATCGGATGTGAATGATATTCGATTAAATGCCATAGTGTTTTTTGTATAAATAAGTGTATATATAAAAGTATCCGTTTCCAAAGAATGTTCTTTCGTGTAATTCAATGTTTATATGAAAGTAGCTGTTCAGGAGGGCTTTTTCTTCCAGTTTTCTGAAATTGATTACTTTCTTCCTTTCTTTGGAAGACTTCCACAATTTTTTGTATATAGATGGGAAAATATTTTTTCAAATAACTATAAATATGTATCCTTGAAACGAATATAAAACTGCTAATTACTGAGGATTGGCAGATTCGATTACCAATAGTAAAAAAGTTCAATTGATTGTTGAAATACATATTAAACGAGGTATTCCAACATTTCCCCTTTCCATTTGAAAAAAGGTGGTAGCGATGAAAATCCACATAAACGCAGTTCTCCAAGTGAAACAGTCCTTAAATAGTGAAGTTAGAGGTGTGATTAGTTGAACCTCAAAACGACGAGTAGCCACAGTCTATCACGTATTTCTGATATGTACCGCTCTTGGTCGATTTGAATGTGCCAAGTCACTTGAACACTTTCCATGAAAGGATCTATAGAAGGGAGACTAATCCATAACCTCTCTTCGATGTTCCAGACTGTCAAGGTTGCAAGTGAGGTTCGCGTCTCCAATCAGGCAGATGGCTCTTTTCTGGATGGACTCCAGCAGCTTCAGGGTATGTTTGGGGGTGGAGCCCCATACTCCAAAGAAGGTTTGATCTGAGTTTTATAAAGCATCAAAAGTTGCTGAGGTGTGTACACAGTTTTCTAGTTCTGAACAGTGTTCCAAGCTTTTGAGAAGCAGCCTTTGCAATTCCAGCTACATGATTGTGCCAAAACATATTGGTGTCTATTTTAACCCCCCAACAAACTCACCGAAGCATGTCACGGTTTAAAATACCGCGACAACATTAATATTATTTTAATTACCTCGAGAATCCCCCCGTAAATATATTGACTCCTGAGAGTCAATATATATGCATACGCATGATTCCTACGAATGTTTACCCAATAACACCAGAACACCCACGATTGAATAAGTCTTTGTCTATTGGTCGCTAGAAAATCTTCGTGTATTCAATTTATTAATTCGCACCCAAGTTTTTGGGATTTCAACGTAAATTTTTATATTGAACAGTTGTGTCACGTTACGTATAATATTGATCAGTGTGAAAAACTGTTACCCTAAATGGGATTTGAATAGCACCAAAGTTAAAGATCTAAAATAAATCTGGTTGAACAACAACAAAGCTCAAGGCCCTGGCAAAAAGTATATGTTTACTGGTAGTCATTGATTTTGAGAGAACCCTCCTTCCATGAAAAGAGGGTTCTGGGTTCTGGTGTAAAATTCTAGCATTGGGTGTCATAGGTTTTCCAAGCCATCTGAATCTAGAATTTTCATTATACAATCACTGAACCGTGGGAGCCAGAAGGACAGCAAATCCAGAATAAAGGATAGGGAAAGGGCTACCAATATCCAGCAAATAACCCAAAGCAAAAACAGATAAGATTAGATACATAAGTTTTTGTTATTTCCATTTGAATTTTGATTTCGTAGATTTTGATATACGAGTTTATTACCCATCAAATATTGAGAAATCATATGATTATTTTGTTGTGAACCACGCGCACGTACATGTTACTGGGAGGAAGTTGTTGTTGAGAATAATAATTACGTACCTTTTTCTTTTTTTTTTTGATCTTCAAGCGTGATACGTGTTGTGGGATATTTTTGTTCTTATCATTAAATTATTTGATATACTCAGAAGTCAAGTTTCAATATATATACACATTTAATCAATACATCCCTCAATTATTTAACGGTGATCATTTCACGAAAATTACCTGTTGGTTCCTCGAGATCTGGAAGTCCTATGGCTTGGGCTGCTTGCGAGCCAGTGGCGCCCTCTTTTTTATAATAAAACCTACCCCCAAACTCTACGACTGAAGCCGTGCATCCCTTTTGTACGCGTGTACTTAAGCATCGACAGGTGAAGTGATTGATTTTTGTTTTTCTTACTTTTTTTTGTTTTCATTCGTTTGAGTTACTTTTAGTTTGAAAAGATCGTACACGCGTTACAAGCAGAAAGCGAAATTGTCTGTCCTAACATTATTATATCCGGTTCGGAGACATTTATCTTTGGGAGAAAACTGATGCCTAGATTTTTGTGGAATTGAATTGAACTTGATTACTTTCAGCCCAATTCGAAAACACATCTAGATCCTTATTAAGATATGCAACCTCCTGCTGCCGTTGAAGATGTGCATTCGCACTGGAATGACGAGACAAGTGTGCTGTTCTCAGCAAAGCAATATATTGGATTCTTGGGTTTTCCAATAAGTCGTTGATATACAATAAAAAGAGGGTTGGAGATAATATTGATCCTTGAGGAACACCAGCTGATGGTGAAAGTATTCGACGCCCGCTTGCAGGAAACGTTCTTTCAGGAAGCTGAAGAGCCAGCAAATTCTCATGCCACACAAGGCCATAGACCTCAAAAATATCGAGGGCAACAGCTCTTGACTCTTCATGTTTCTCTATTGCGTTATTCCAAATATGGGTGACATATAATAGAAGGTCGTCTGTTGATCTTTGTTTCCGAAAGCTATATTGATGATCGTTCAAGATGTTGAAGCCTTCCAAATATTTAAGGTTATGGTGCTTTACGGAGTAGTGCAAACTATTATCTTTCTCATCAAAAAGTACTAAAAATGATACCTTTTCACCAGAATTTTGTCTGACGTTGATATCCTTTCCTTTTCAAAAGTTGATAGCGGGGCAATAATTCATGTACGCACTGTATGTTCACGTCTTTTGTATGACAGTTTCAATAAATAATACCTAGAGTGATATGGATGAATTTCGCCATGGCAGAGGGTGGTGTTATTGAATTGATTTCATCATGGGTAGTTTTCATTAGTATTTTATTTTTGAAAACATTTAAAAAATAAGAAAGTAACATAAATACTGTGCGCTCACAATCAGACATCGATATTTCTCTTTAAAATTCAACAAAAATCATCATTTTGGCAACACTATAAGAAATAAATATTTTAATATCGTGTCGTCACAACATTTCACACAGTCCTCTTCCTCAAGGTCACTCAAAACTGGATATTGTGTCCCCTCAAAAATGCATCGATTTGGCTCGAACCCAACGCTCCTATGTTGCTAGCGGAAGGTTGAATATAGTACACAGGTTGCTGTATCGCTTGTTGCTTCTGCTGTTCCTGTTCTGCTCTTGTCCTTTGTTGCTGGGCATAGAGTTGAGCAGAGTTTTGGAATTGTAATTCAGCTTGTTGAGCCTGGTAAGCAGCCTAAGAAAAACATACGATTATTAACTTGTTTGAAATGAGGTTTCTGAGCCATTGTTTCATGTCGAGCGAAATTTAAATAAAAAATCTAACTGTTAAATCGAAATACTACATGGCCTGAAAAGTCTTGAGTCTAACACATAGATGGCGCTTGCATTAACCGCTTGTTCAGTTAGTACTAACCTTCAAGAGAAAGGTGTTGCAATTTTATGATATTCTACTCGTGAGTTATAGTGCTAATAGTTAGAAAACGTTGCTGATTCGTTTTGAGAAATTGACGGCACATAAAAACATTAGTAAGAAGTATTGATTCCTTCACAAAGAATGTCTTTCAAAGAATAAATATGAACAAAAAAAATCGTTTTCTTTCTCAGGGCCGGGACTTTTCAGCCTAGGATAGGTTATAAATCAACAAGTACTGTTCTGCAAAATAGAGGTATCGTGAGAAATTATTCAAATAATGAAAAACTACAAGACCGAAGGTATCCATTCGGATGAGTTGATATGAAAGTGGTATGAAAACGATATTAGGAAATTGAATACCCAACGGAACTGAATACACTGCGAAAGGTGAGTATGATTGACCTCTTTTATTCAGGATATTGAATGATCTGGTAAGAAAATACAAATGTTTTCAGGAAATGAAATATTAAAAGAAATTAAATGGACTGTGAAAGATGAATACACTGCGAAAGGTGAGTATGATTAACCTCTTTTATTCAGGATATTGAATGATCTGGTAAAATAATATAAATGTTTTCAGGAAATAAAATATAAAAAGAAATTAAATAGACTGTGAAAGATGAAACCTTTTTCAACTTTTGTGATTTATGAACTGTATTTTTCATTTAATTCCTTGATGTCATTTCCAATTCACTTTCTTACCAGCTCATCCAAATAGGTATAGCCGGAGTAAACGATATTGTGCACTCTTAAAGTTGTTGGCACTCTCAAATGCCAAAAAATCAATACATAGAAATGAACCGGCAGCGAACTAGTCCACGTGCACTGTAAACTTGGCTGTTCGTATTGGATACTTTTTACTAACCGAGTTTTATGTGTTCCAGAACAAATATTATGTGCAAAGTTCCATAAATCCGATCGTTATTCAACCCGATGATGATTCCACCTCATCCGAATATAGCGAAGAAGAATTTTGTTTTTTCCAGCAATTTTGTTGGCCTTTATTATTTTGTAAATATATGTTTGACGAGAATTCGGTCTGATTATTTGTGTTTTCATTGTATTTTAGAGTTTTCGACTCGGAAATCAACTACCTTAAATTTTGAAGTTTTTCATAATTACCCATGGTGGAAAAATTCAGTTGAGATAACTTTTTCATGGGGTGATCAATTGCTATGGTTGCAAGAATAAGTAACTGAAAAACTACCACTGAAAAATAATATGCCGACGCCTATGTCGTGGCGGGAATTCCTTCTCTGTGCTGTTCCAATTGGTATTGGAAATACTATACCTTGTAATTCTACAGAAAAATCCCAACATCGTGTTATCACGGAACAGCTTACAATATCACAACAATATTATCTCAGTTTTTTGTGTTCGCGAGTTAGCTTTAACAACGACCATGGATGAAATCGAAGAAATTGAGGAACAAAATCAAATTTCTTTAGAAGTATTGGGAGAATCATGTGCAGCAAGTGTTAATTTACTGCCGAAAATAACTCAAGAGCGATATCAAAAAGAATATGGAAATTTTGAAACGGCCGCCAGGTGTTAAAAAATCTCAACGGGCTGAGGCTGTTAACTTTAACTTTTCAATTGTCATCTAAATACCGTTAAATCAAAATAACAGCATAGGATGATAAAAAAAGTATTTTATTAACTGCACATGTTGTTGAATGTGACATCCGTCCATGGTGATATGGAAGACCACTAATTTGACAGATCTAGCTTCGACAAGATGGCCGTTATCAATTGTTAAAGTTAGGAAGTCCTTTTTTCAAGAAACTTCATTACCTGTGAGTTCACGGGCTGTGGCCTGAGATTTTGTGAATACAGGGGGCTTTGTTGCTGCAACTGTTGGATATTCAAAACTTGGGGACGTGGCCTTTGAACATAAGGTTGTATTTTCTGCTTCAATACAAAGTCTCCATCGCTTTGTGGCAGGGTCTGGTAAATCTGGTTATTGTACTGCCCAGATGCGGGATCGTAGACCAGAGCAGTTGAATAAACTTGGCCGGGCGTCTGTAGGGTTTTTGGTCTGGGTGTTGTCACTTCATTGACGATTGGAGTGGAGGTAGAAGATAAAATGTTATTCTCCTGTTGGAACCTTTGGAATTCTTGTTCAAAGCCTAGGTTCCTGTCTGGTGAGTTGGTGGATGACGCTAATGACTGAAATTTGATTATCATGAAATACATATTTTTCTTCAATCTACTTGAATGACAGTGTTATTTTTGGTGATAGTGAGGCTCGTCTCTCGCTTTTCACACTATATTCAATTGCTTGCAATACATGCTAAGGGTTGCCTTTTATATTTCGGGATTAGAGAACAAAAACAAATATTAATCATCGAAAATCACTTTATTGTTTTTCAAAATATTCCTCATGAAGATCTATACACTTTTGCATGCGTTTGAACCAATTGTCGAAGCATTTTTGCCACTCTGATTGGTTATTTCCAAAACATGCATTCTGAATGCATCAACCGCTTCTTCAGGTGACGAAAAACGTTGACCTCTTACATTGTTTTTTACGCGCGGGATTGAAAAGAAGTCATTCGGTGCCAAGTCAGGACTATACGGCGAATGACTCATCAAATCGATGTTTTGGGTGCTCAAAAATGCAGTTGTTTGAGTCGCATTGTCGTGGTGAAGAGTGATCCATCTTCGGCGGTTGGTTTTCCTGATTTCTTGGAAGACAACTAACAAACAAATGGTTGTGTACACCCAGAATTGATTGTTCTGTGTTGTTCTAGTGGTACGGTTCAGTTTTTCGGAAAAAAACAGGCGACCATTTGCTTGAAAGTGCTTCGTCCGCGAACAACTTTTGTTGGATTTGGCTCTTCTTGAAACACCCATACAGTCGACTGCTGTTTACTTTCGGGCTCATACGCGTAAATCCACAATTCATCACCTGTCACGATGTCATAGACGTGTTTCGAAGCACCGCCATCGTATTTTTTGAGCATTTTCCTTCGACCAATCGACACGAGCCTTTTTTTGAGCGATTAACAAATTGTGTGGGATCAACGCGAACACATTTTTTCAACAGTCAAATGTTTATGCAATATTGCATATTGTTCAGCTGGTAGATTCGCTTTTTCTATGGCTGTTGTTGCAATTGAACTATCCGCTTGTGTTAGTGGTGGAATTGTGGATTTTGTTCTGATTAACAGCTTTAGCTACCGACCAGAAGAATCTAGACCCGTTGGGATTTGCAAGCAGTTTATCCCTAATTATCCGAATGTGAAGTTCTTTGCTTTCATTTATTCTAAGTTTGTAGCTGTTGCGAGCATTATCAAACCTAGTTTGGTTTTTGGCACTGAAAGTTTTGCGCCACTACCGCTAGGAGAGATTTTTAGAGGCGACAGCTACCTCGCAATCTTTGTTGAACCAAGGTTTGCCGTTAGAAGTTTGTTTCATTGAAAAAGAAATATATGCATCAATGGATGGTACAATAACTTTCGTGACTTCAAAAGCACAAGTTGATGGATCATTAGAAATGAAACAAACATCTAGACATGGTAAATTTCAGAAATGGTCTTGAAGAGACCCCACTCAGCAGATCTGAAATGCCAAACTTTGCGCGGCTCAGATTATTCCCCAACATTTATCGGTTTTTTCTAATAAAGTAAGACTCGTATCTTGCTTTTCACACTATATTTAATTGCTCACATCTTTATTCAATTGCTTACAACAATAACGATGGAAAAAATGGAGTGTTTCATTCGGTACTGTTATTTATAGCGTACCTCGGTCGACAACCATCTTGGTTTCGGTCAGGTTGGAGCCTGGCTCATCCTTTCAACTGTCGTTTGTCAGAAGGACACTGATGTCCTCAGACATCAGTGCCGGCCTTCACGGTGCACCCTCACCTGGTTGGGATGAGATGGATGAAAAACTGTTCATCTGTTAACGGGGGACATGAGGGCCTCATTCGACAGAGTGTCGGGGCCTTCTATATCGGGGGGGGGGTCGTCTACAGCGTAATCGATAGCTTCCCTAACTAACGGATTATTCGTGAGTTTCTGCGCAATCAAGAACTCACCGATTTCTCTACTGAATAGACTGTTAAATGGAAGGCAGCTGCAAATCTCTGCGGATGGCTTCGTTCCGTACGAACCACGGAGCATTCACAATTATCCGTATCAATGTATTTTGCAATCTCTTCAAAATGGAGATTTAGACGGAGCCACTTTACTCCAGACGCCTGAAGCATACATGATGACAGGCTTGAACATCGTATTGTAGATGGTAATCTTGTTCTTCAAACTCATTTTAGATTTTCTGTTGATCAGAGGGTACAGACTTGCTATCCGACCATCGATTCTTGTTTTAACGGATACAATGTGTGGGTTCCAGGTAAGCCTACCGTCTATTAGCAGGCCGAGGTAATTTACCCGCGCTTGCCATGGTTATCGCCTGAGTCTTTTCTGGGTTCACTCAGATCTTCCACTCGAGGTACCAGCGCTCGAGATCGTCCAATGCGCGTTGCATGTAGATGATCCCGAGCTCCTCTCCCATCGAAGATGAGAGGAGAGCCGTATCATTGCCGTAGAGAGAGCACAGCTCCCTGTGGCACTCCAGCGAGGATCTCTCTGTTGTCAGACAGAGAGCCCTCTACTCTAACCTGAAATGTTTATACCGTACCTTTTCTTCTTCTTTTTCTTCATTCTACATTGCTAATACTTCATTCATACCACATATGAACCACGAAACAGTCGACATCTACCGAATACAAGAAAATCACTGCAATCAAGTGATTTATCTCAACAGTTAAGAAAAGATATCGAAGGTATCAATTCTGTAATTACATTTTTGTTTATATTTTGTGCTTACCTGTGACTGTGTATTATACAACAATGGCGTCGGTCGTGGGGTGACTGAAACTTGGTATACTTGTGGTCTGTAAGTAGTAGCAGGTAACTGTGGTGCCCTTGAAGATGAACTGTGCGTTATCGGTCTGGGAGTGATAGTAACTGGACGAACACTTGACCTGTAGATTATGGAGGCTGGCGTTGTAGTCGATAAATGTTGAGGTTTCTTATAAACCTGGTATTCCTGGTCAGCTGGAGTCTGTTGTAAATAGTGCGGAGTGGATACATATGTTGGACGTTGAATGGGCTGCTAGAATTTAAGAACATATGTTGAAATTCTGTGAAGAACGTAATTAGGAGGTATCGACAAAAATATCTATACAAAAAATGTAATTGAGGATTATTGGTTCAAATGGTTTGGGGCACCTCACATCAAAATTAGAGCATTTCACTGGATGCGCGTTTCAGTAATATAGTTTTGGGTTCCCCTGATACTAACCTGGTTGGCAAAACATGCGTTGTGAAAATGCTTTGGTGCTTATGGCGTTCTAAGAGCGGTGCCTGTGCGAAAGAAGCGATTGACGTTGGATTTGAATTGCTGAAGGTTAAACCCATTTGAAAAAATGTTTTCAGGGAGTTAATTCCACATGAACCCAATGGAAAACGCAAATGAAAGATGTTTTGGATGGTTTCCGGGTTTTGCCGTGGTCTTCTTTGCCGTTTGGAAATCATAACCATACCCAACAAGCCACAGCATCGAAGTTTGGCCAGCAAACCCTCATGCCACACACGGTCAAAGGCTTTGGAAATATCAAGCGCTACAGCTCTTGTCTCTCCATGTTTCCCGATTGCGTAATTCCAATTATAGGTGATAAATGGATAATGGATAAAAATATCGACAAATAATTTATCTTAAATTTTGCAATCCAAATTGTATTTCCTGTGCTAAAGTGCTAACAATGTTGCATGAGACTAACAGCGAATAGACTTCATCAAAAAACAGCAGCATATGAGTGGTCACTCCATTCAAAAGCGTCAGTCAGTCCATTAACATCGCTGAAGTAAAGGAAATCGTGACAGAAAATCGTCATATGAGTCCGAGTGATTTAGCCGCTAAAATTTTCACGCCTCACGAATCAGTTTGTACCATTTCAGGGAGTAAACGCGTTGTCGCTCGGTTAGGTTAGGTTAGGTTACCTAACCTAACCTAGATATATTGTTATCCTAGATATACTGAATGGACAAATTTCTAGGTTCTCCTTCCCGAAAAGATGGAAAACGGCCAAAGTGGTCTTGATCCCAAAAGGCGATCCTCAGATGTCCAAGTTCAGACCTATGTGCCTACTGAATGGCTTTGTTAAGTTATACGAGTATCTCCTCAAATTCAGGCTGGAGGCGGAACTTACCTTGAAGGAGGGTATCTCAGATACCCAATTCGGCTTCAGGCCGAAAAAATCAACAGTCGATGCCATAACGCATGTTATCAAGGTAGCAATAACTGGAAGGAACACCTGGGGTCTGTCATTCTGGTGGAAGTGAGAAACGCCTTCAACACGGCTAAATGGGAAAATATGCTGAATAAACTGGAAGGCCTACAGATAGATGGATACCTGGTCAAGGTCATCGACGAGGTGTAAACACTATGAGCAGGACATGACGCAGGGAGTTCCACAGGAATCGGTACTGGGTCCCACCCTGTGGAACGTCCTATATGACAGTGTACTCAACCTGGCACCAATGTCTGGAGATGGTGACGTCATGGAGGACGGAAAACGGACTGGAGATCTCACCGGAAAAAAACTGAGGCAATCATCTTGGAAGGTCCCAGGAAACGAGAGGAAATTAAATACCGGATAGGCAAATTAGAGATCGAGCCAAAGAAATACGTTAAATGCTTCAGAGTCTGGCTAGACGATGAACGAATCTACAACCAGCACGTAAGGGAAACAGTAGAAAAAGCAAACAGGCAGATAAGTTTGTTGGGATAAAATGGACATCAATATGTCTTGGCACAATCATGTCACTGGAATTGCAAAGGCCGATTCCCAAAAGCTTGGAACACTGTTCCGAACCAGAAAACTGTACACATCTCAGTAACTTTTGATGCTTTATAAAGGTCAGATCAGACCTTCTTTGGACTATTGTTCTCATGTATGGAGCTCTGCTAAGCATACCCTGAAGTTGCTGGATTCCATCCAGAAAAGAGCCATCCGCCCGATTGGAGACGCGAACATCACTTGCAACCTTGATAGCTTAGAACAGGGGTCTCCAAACTTTGTAGCCTTCGGGCCATAATGACTTTTCCAGTTTGTTACAAGGGCCAACTTCTGCCCTGAACTATATTTCTAGACTAGAATAGTCGCAAAGTGCGTGACCTAAGCAAACTTACGCTTTTTTGCATTTCAATTATTATTGTGTATTGTGACACTTAACGACATCTAGTGGTCGAGTAGTGGTAATATGTACTATTTTTCCAGCTACTCGCTAGGTGGCATTAGGCGTAATTAAATATTTGGAATTACCGCGTTAGTTCGAGAAAGTTCTGGTTCTAGCTAGTGTATTCCGATCACCTCGAGATGGCAGTTATAATTGCATATAAAAAGGCTAGCGGCACAACTGCGAGTTAGTCTGCGTAGGAAAGGCGAAGGAAGCGAAACTGTCTATTGTGAAATAAAGTAACACCCGTCAATAAAAGTATTTTGATTTGATTTTTGGTACTACTTACTTGTGTGAGAAAACGTTTTCCAAGATGAAGTACACAAAGAATGTTTACAGATCTCAATTAACCGATGAGCATCTTAAATATCTTTTGATAATTGGTACAAGTAAAATTGATCCACAACTACAAAGTATTGTCGGTGGAAAATCACAATTAGTGATCTCATTAGTGTTTTTGTTTTAGTGTGATTCATTTCAATTATTTGTTAGTTATTAATATGCTTTAACTTAGATACTTAAGTTAAGTTTTCTTTGTCATCATTTCTGTCGTTAAGTTTTACCTTGCAATTTAATAAAACCGAGTAATTATCATTCTGTGTTTTCTTCTTCAACTTATCACAGCAATAGTAACAACAATTAGGTAATCATTGGCTGTCGCGGATCAGATTGATGACAGTAAATCATTGGCTGTCGCGGGCCGGATTGATGACACTAGCAGGCCGGATTTGGCCCGCGGGCCGTAGTTTGGAGACCCCTGGCCTAGAACATCGAAGAAAGGTTGGAGATTTGTCTCTCTTCTATAGATACTTTCACGGGAGGTGTTCGAGTGACTTGGTACGTTTGATTACACCAAGAGGGGTACATATTCGAAATCCGCGACGAACTGTGGCTGTTCATCGTTTTGAGGTTCATCTCAGTACACCTTGAACTTCACTGTTGAAGAACGCTTCCATCTGGAGAACTGCATTTATGTGGAATAAACTTCCTGAGAGTCGATCCAAAGTGAAAGTGATGGTAAAACCAGTATTTTGCAGACTTTTGTTTATGGCTCTTCAGCTTCCCGCACTGCAACCGCTCTTAGGACTTAGGACCGCAGTACTGTGCACTTGGAATTTTTGCTAGAAGGCGAGATAGAATAAAGTATATCAACTGAGCCTTATGCGGCGTTTGAGAGAACGAATTTGTCGAAAAGGACTAGATATTAGCATAGAAAACTCATGAATTCCAGACCACAATAACGCACCATCTCACAAGGCTATTATTTTGAACGAATTTCTGGCTAATAACTCGAAAAATCTTATCGAACAATCATCGTATTCACCTGATATGGCTCGGGCTTTTTTTTTCAGTCGATAGATGGCACAAAACAAAATTAGCATCTAGTATAGAAGTCAGTTCCAACAAATGGGCTCAAAAAATGTATTGTTAATTGGGTTTTTCGTTAGTGTTAATGTATTATTTCGAATGGGGCCTACTTTGAGATGAGAGCGATACTTTGAATTTGGGTGAAAAATTCATATTTTGCGACACTTTTTAGACATAGTACATGGCTGCAAGTGGTAATACTGATTTGCTGTCTTCATCAGACAGGAGGTAGAATCAATTCTAATTTGAACTGGAAAAGGTGATATGAATAGTTCGGAAATAATATAAGAAAAGTTCGGGAGAAATATCATTCAATTGCAAATCCGATATTTTCGTCAGTTTTTGTACTGTTCAAACCATCGAACATTGAAACTATGTTAAAATAGGAAGAGGAACACTTCCAAAAGCAAGAACGTACAATACCTGAGAGGATGGTCTTAGGAGTTGCTCAGGTTCAGGCTGTTCTTCCTCTTGAGCGTAGGTGTTTTGGAACAACGTTACAGCTGGTTTAGGAGCTGCAGGTCTTCTCAAAGGCTGGATCGGCCTTGTGGGATAGTTAGCAGGAACGTTTTCGTTTTCGGTTTCGTTACTCTCATCCTGTTCATCCTGATCTTTGGGAGCATTGGGGTCACATGGATTTCCAGAAACATATGTAAACTCTCTTTTATTACCATCCGGATCAACATAGCCGTATTTACCTCTCACGACACAGTCGGTACCTAGATATATCAATATGGTTAATAAGAATTTCAAGAAATTTGAATTTGATGTGAAATAATAGCTATTATCTAGAGCTGCGGTCGATAGTGGACGATTCGACAGTCAAAGTTTTTTAAAATACAGGGTGTTCCTTAAACACATGCTAATATTTAAGGAGGTAATTCTTAGACCCATTTTAAGAAAAAAACTTCCTATGGACGTATGTCCTAAACGCCTTAACTTTTGAGATACAGGGTGGCAAAGTTTTCAAAAATAATCAGTTTTTTAATAATAACTGAGATAATTTTGTAGACATCTTTG